TCTCCGGAGAACCCGAATGAGCCAAAAGGAGGATCGGATTGGAGGCCCGGTGACACCAGAGGAAGGTCAGATTGGGGGCCCGGTGACAACTCCTCAATCATTTGCAAGCTCCATGTAAACAATTCCCCGCACTCTCTCTGATTATCGTCCCTTTGCCGTCCTGTCATGGCGCCCGCACACACACACACCTTATGTGATAACATTACATACACGAGGACTACAAGTCCCATCAGACCCAGAGCGAGTACTCATATAAACACTCAATAACATTTTGATAGCGCAGCTGTCAATCACTTCCATTGGAGGAGGGGCCAGAGGCGGGTGTTTCTTTTCCCTCCAGGTGTCTGCACAGGTCCCTCTGTAGTCCACGGGTGGGCAATCTCCGACCCTCCGGTTGAGCTGCAACTACAAAACCCACAAGGCATTGCAAGACTGCGCCGCAGGCATGATGGGAGTTGTAGCTTCACCACAACTGGAGGGCCAGTTTGCCCACCCCTGCCCTAGTCTGATCCCGGGGGAGGGACACGCTCATTGGGATGAGTCGGCTTTGCACCGGCATGAAATGTACAAATGCCGGGCGGCAGGGCCGGCCTTAGGCCTTTAGGCGCCCTGTGCGAGAAAGCTTTACAGCGCCCCTCAGTGACCACACCCCTCAGTGGCCACACCCTCAGTGGCCACACCCATGTATTACCCATATTTTTGGTAAAATATAAAAGACAGGGTCACGTTGGGTAGATAGACACCAAACATGTCGTGCTTTAAAATTGCGCGCACCCGCAAAAAATTACCATGCCCAAAATTGACCATAGGTGACGCTTTAAAAGCTTTTACCCCTCATCAGTTTAGTGTTATCAGTGATTGATGGCCCTACAATTATTGCTCTCATTCCGACGTTTGCGACGATATGTGACATGTGCGGCGTAATGGGCAGAAGCGGCCCCCAGGACGAGCTGTGTCGGCCGCACAGCGCCCTTGTTGCCATGGCGCCCTGTGCGGCCGCACTGCTCGCACACCCCTAAGGCCGGCCCTGCCGGGCGGTGCCGTGTGAAGGCCGGACATGGAGCGTCGGGGGTCTCGGTCTTGTCACCTCTGCACTGTAGAAGCTTTTCAATGACTTCTTATTGAGGAAATGGCCACCAAGGATAGTAAGCGGGCCCTTCCAGAACCACCCCCAAGCGAGGCCGGAGACTCCGGATCAGGAAGTCTAAAACGGGTCAGAGAAACTTTATTAACTCCTCAACACCGGCCATACGCACACACATGGCAAGACGCTGTATTGTGCCGTCACCATCATCGTTCCGGAGCTGGGAGTACGAGCTCTTGACCATGTGGCCACGAGGGGAGCCCCAATCGCGGGGAGCCGGGGGAAGCCCCCATCGCGGGGAGCAGCCCCCATCGCGGGGAGCAGCCCCCGGAACGCCTTAAAGGGCCAGTGGGCTGGTGAACACAAGTTCTCTTTTCCTGACCGGAGTTCAGCTTTAAGGGGACGGGTGGGCGCTGCCAGCTTACCGTTAATGTCTCCGTAATGAAGGTGTCACTCCTGCATGGGGCCGCCCATTTCATTCAGCATTGGATGAGAGTGACACCATCACAACAGGAGGATGAATTGGATGGGGACAGCTCGGCACTGGAATCAGAGACATGAGAAGCCATCACGGCATTCAACGTGCCAGCAAACCGGGCCGAGATCGGGGGGCGGCCTTGAAAACCTCACGT